GTTAACAAAAATACAAACAAACTGAAGAAAAGGGAAAAACGTTGATGTAAAACGAATATGCATCTTCATTCATCCTGATTTTTTTTGCTGTGAAATCTACGTTTTTTAGTATCAAAACTACGTGTTGTGCTTTTTCTTTTATGCATTGCGTTATGACGTTTTGTGAAAAATCTGTACGTGATGGAGAAACATGGATATCATTTTTGGATTCAGCGTACAGGAATTACTGTAAAAATTTCAAGACAATAAAACCATCGCAGGCCTGTGTAATTAGGCTTAGGTGACCGTATAAGATACTAGCCATGACAAAGACTGTCCTTGTTAGCTTTAATCAAGAACGACATTTTGACGTTAGCTTTTGTGGTACATAAGTGTACCATATGTTTTATACCTCCCTGTTTTAATGCATAAATTTTTGAAAATTTATTTGTGCAGGTATGTGCAATTTCCACATAACAAACAGGTCGTTAATGTCCTTTTGCTCTAACTACCTATTCTTCTGTGTCATTTATCTAGAGTATCACTTTTTATCTTCCGGTGAGACAGATAGCTGCAAGGTCACATGTATTATATGAAGTTAGAAAGTTATCTTTTCTACTGCAGTCAGATGACTTCTTGAGGTAATGGCTTCTCCTATGCTTTATTGGGAATGATCAGCAACGTGGTACGCTCTTGGTATGTTTGACGTTAATGAGTTAAGTAATTAACGTAAGATTTATCTCGTCTGGAATACTATCTCAACCGACATCGTCTGGAGGACGATCTCAGTAGATGCAGTCTGGAACAGATTAACAGAGTTAGATTCGCTTAAAATCTTATCTGAGTTAAAGCATCTTCACACCTAGCTCTCCAGTAAAGGCGAGTGTTTATGATTGAACATTTGTGTTCAATCTCTATCCATTTCTCGCGAACTCAGTTAACTATAAAATACAGAGTTATTTCTCTGTAATTATTTTGACAAATCTCCCGTTATTCCACGGACCTATCTTTTTATTTTTAGAGAAAATGATTGCATCTGAAAATACCACATTTTACCAAGTCAGGTGAAGGTAAAATTGATATTCCTTGTTTGTTTTGTAAGCTGCCAAAAGCAAAATCTATAAACATGATTTTAAAATATATCTATGCGTTTCTCTTTCCAACTATTCAGCCAAGAATATAAACGATAGAACAACTGATATATGGATTTTTCATTTTTACTTTTCAGTCAGGAACATTTTTTGAATTATTTTCACTAAACATGTGATTAATCTTTTAGGTTAAATTGGTCTACATGTACTAGCCTCACAAATCTCAAGTAAAACATCTATCTACCAATTATAAAGCGGTACTGAAATGACAGACACTTTGTTCAATTCTTGATACCCGGATTGACTGGCGCACGGATAGAACCATGGTATTGGAATTATCTAGCTCGAAGAACTGCTGCTGTCGTCGTCTCCTGTGACTGTTCCTGTGAAACTTGTGTCGAAACTCCCGTTTGAACCTTTCCTATGAATTAAGAAAACAAATGAAACGTTTGTAACAGTTTATAAGACGAATATATTCACAGAAAAGATCTGAAAAAGCCTTTTCCTTCACAGAGTATTTGTAACCTACTGGCAAAAATTTTTTGATGAGTTATTGCTGAAACGTACCACAAAAAGTGGACTGTACAAACAATAGCTTGGCAATTGAACCAATGTAAAGACTACTAGAATACTTGTATATGTATTACAAGTGTACAACAATGAAATGACAATCACACCAATACATAATGTATAACAATGCAATGATAAATGTAGAATATATAACACAAAATAATAAACACTGTATGAAATATTTCACAAACGTGTACCATAATTCACAATACACAATAGTAAGTGGACATTACATGAAAAATACAAAGTTTAAAATACAAAATAAAAAAAATTGTACGATAATATATGAACAGAGTAAAAACAGTAGGGAAACACGGACACAAAACAAGTCACGGAGAGAGAGAAGTATTCTTGTGTTCTTAAATTGTAATTTACTTGCCGAATATAACATTAAATGTAAGTGAAAAATGGCATCGGGACCTCTGGCTCACAAGACCCATGCTCTACCATAGTACTATTGGGTAAATAAACATCGTTGTGATTTAAAGTTGAGTATATATATGTGCAAAGTATAATTGACAATAACGTATGTACGTAGATATACTTAAATTCCATAATTTAAGTACACGAATTATGAACACGTGAATATCAACATAAATAATTTTGTTAATAAGGTCGAAGAGCTTGAGACAGAATAAATAGATAATTAAGGGTGAAGAAAAAGGCTGAAAGGAATGGACGTAGTTAATTTCCATATTGATAGTTTCGAAATAAAGCACATTCGTTGGAATGCAACCACAATTCCCCAAATCCCAAAGGCCAGATTAAATAGGGCTTTAAGAACTTGAAATAAAACGTAACTAAAATTATTGTCTTATCGTCACATACTATCCTTTTTTTTTAGAAAAAACAAACTAATTTAAATATCTTAAAATTGGAAATTAAAATTTCACTCAGTATACAAAAGGTGTCGAGATTACTTTTCAGTGTGTATTTCTTTCAGAAAAACAAACAAACTTGAGAGTCTGTTCAAAGAGAAAAGTATACAAATAAAATAGCTTAAACAGAGATACTCTCTAGATATCCTTAATACAACTTAATAAAACAAGACTATTGATTATATAGTTAACACAACTTACTAGAAGAAGACTTTTGATGATGTAGTTAATACAGCTGACTGCAGAACACTATTGGTTATATAGTTAATACAACTGACTGCAGAATACTATTGGTTATATGGTTAATACAACTGAGTGCAGAATACTATTGGTTATATAGTTAATACAATTTGATACAAGACGAATATTGATTATACGGTTAATACAACTTGATACGATGAGACTATTGATAACTAGCTGAAGTACCCGTCCTCTGTACGGAAGTTATGT